CCACTCTCAGATAAATAAGTGTATCTATGTACCAAAACTCACGTACAAAAATGTTCACAGCAACTTTACTAACAATATCCAAAAAGTGGGAACAATTCTAATGTTCATCAGCAGAAGAATGAATAAAAAATTGTGGTATATTCATACAATGGAATAATACAGAACAATAAAAAATAATCCACTGATACATGCAACAATATGGGTGAAACTCACAGATATGTTGTGCTAAAGCCAGAGTCAAAACAGTAAATACCTTACTGTTCTATTGACAATAAACTCAAGATACTAGTCTGTGGTGATACAAGTCAGAAGAGCTATTACCTCTGGGACAGCGGTTATCAACCAAGGACAATCTTACCCCCCATGGAGCATTTGGCAGTGTCTAAAAACATTTTGGTTTTTACAACTTGGGGGTGGCAGTGGGAGGTTTCTGCTAGCATCGACTGGGTAGAGTCTGGGGATGATGCATCTTACAATGCATAGAACAATCTCCGCACACACAAAAAAAAAACCAAAGAATTACCCAACATGAAATGTCAATAGTGCCAACGTTGAGAAATCCTGTCCCAGGAGAAGGGATATCGACTGCAAGGGAACACAGGGAAACTTCCAGGCTGCTGGAAAAGATCTATATCTTGATCTGAATGGTAGTTACCAGAATGTATACTTAGGCAAATATCTATTAAGCTGTACACTTGAAATTAGTAGAGCACTTTGCATATTTTACTGACACATGTTAGACCTCAAAAAAATTTTAAAAGGCTAATACAATTTGAAAATAAATTGGTTTTTAAAATACGAATGGACAAAAGCTCCTATAAAAAACAAAGATTGACCTTCAATAGCCAAAACAATCTTGAAAGAAGAACAAAGTTGGAGGAATCATACTTTCTGATTTCAAAACTTGCTACAAAGCTATAGTAATCAAAACAGTGTGATACTGGCATAAGGACAGACATAGAGACCAATGAAATAGAATAGAGAACCCAGAATAAACCCTCACACATAAGATCAATTTATTTTTGACAAAGATGCTAAGACCATTCTCTGGGAAAAGGACAGTTTTTTCGACAAATAGTGCTGGAAAAACTGGATAACCACTTGCAAAAGAATGATATTAGTATACGTGGTACCTACGGTAGTCAAAATCATGGAGACAGAGATGGTGGTTGCCAGGGAATACGGGAGGGTAAAGAGCTTCAGTTTCATAAGATGAAAAGAGTTACAGAGATGGGATGGTAGTATTGGTTGCACAACATTATGAATATCTCTAATACCACTCAACCGTACACTTAAAAATGTTTAAAAATGGTAAATTTTATGTTATGTGTATTTTACCACAACAGAAATGGGGGGGAGGATTTTTTAAATTAAAAAATGGAATATAAGACTGGGCATGGTGGCTCATGCCTGTAATCCTGGCACTCTGAAAGGTAGAGGCAGGTGGATCATTTGAGCTCAGGAGTTTGAGACCAGCTTGAGCAAGAGCATGACCCCGTCTCTACTAAAATTAGAAAGAAATTATCTGGACAAATAAAAATATACAGAAAAAAAAATTAGCCAGGCATGGTGGCACATGCCTGTAGTCCCAACTACTCGAGAGGCTGAGGCAGAAGGATTGCTTGAGCACAGGAGTTTGAGGTTGCTGTGAGCTAGGCTGATGCCACAGCACTCACTCTAGCCCGGGCAACAGAGTGAGACTCTGTCTCAAAAAAAAAAAAAATGGAATATAGCCAAAACTATTGAATCACGCACTTTAAATGGGTGTTATATAGTTTGTGAATTATATCACAATAATAACTGAACATCCACATGCAAAAAAAAAATGAAGCTGGACCCCTACCTCACACTATATACAAAAAGTAACTCAAGGTCGGGCACAGGGGCCGTAATCTCAGCACTTTGGGAGGCCGAAGTGGGAGGATCTCTTGAGCCCAAGCGTTTGAGACCATCCTGGGCAACATAGTGAGACTCAGTCTCCACCAAAAAAATTGTTTTAAAAAAAATTAGCCAGGTGCGGTGGCACTCACCTATAGTCATATCTTAAAGCTAATTTTTATTTCTTCAAACACATTCCTGGTATGATAATTTTGAATTCTAAAGACTGCGTGTCTGGCCAGGCGCGGTGGCTCACGCCTGTAATCCTAGCTCTCTGGGAGGCCGAGGCGGGCGGATTGTTTCAGCTCAGGAGTTCGAAACCAGCCTGAG